ACTGCTCTCTGACCCTTGAATATTACGTCATCCCGTGTTGCTAGCTCGTCTCTGATTGAGAAGTATGGATGAATACATCGAGGAAGGGTCTCTTTTCTTTCTGGCCACCCATTCAAAATTATTTCTTTCAGTGCTTGTAAAGTGCTGTCACATTTGGTTTCTCGCTGTATTTCCTTCAGCAGTGGCTCAGAGATGGGGAGATAATTTGACATGTGGATAGTTTCGACTTCTTCTTCAGTTGCGGACTTTTGTCTCTCATTTGTCGGCAGGTATGCACGAGAGAGTGTGTCTGCTAGAACAATTTCTTTGCCAGGTTTATAGCAGATTTTAACATCGTATGATTGCAATCTTAGTAGCAACCTTTGCAGTCTCTTTGGAGCAGTAGCGAGTGGTTTTCTGACGATTGAGACAAGTGGTTTGTGATCCGTCTAAAGTGTAATCTCTCTGCCATAGACATAGGTATGGTGATGTTCCACTCCAAATACTTGTGCAAGCAGCTCCTTCTCTATTTGGCTGTAATTTTGCTCTGCAGGGGTGAGGGCTCTGCTTGCATATGACACGGGACGTCCCTCTTGCATGAGCACGAAACCAAGCCCCTTTGATGATGCATCAGCCTGGCCTTCTGAACTGGTGCCTCGCAAATTGCTTTTTGTATTTCAGCAAAAAACTTGTTGTGATCTTTTCCCCATACCCATGGTGCATCTTTGTGGGTCAAATTTCTCAGAGGTTCGCATACTTCAGATAGTCTGGGAAGAAACTTGGCCAGGTGTTTTACCATGCCAATGAACCTTTGTACACCAGCGACACCTTCCGGCTTGCTCATCTTTGTGATGGCTTCAACTTTTGCGGGGTCTATATTTAGACCATTCTGTGTTAGGGTATCACCAATGAAGGAAACTTCATCGCACTTGAACTTGAATTTGTCCTTGTTCAGCTTGATGTTTTTTTGTTGACAACGTTTCAAAAGTGCCAGCATGTTCATGTCATGATTTTTGACAGCTTCTTCGTAAGTTTCTCCTCTTCCGGTAACAAGAGCATCGTCAGCGACTGCATACACTCCAGATAGGCCTTCAATGCACTGATCAAATTTGTGTTGAAAATGTTCTGAAGCTGGTTTAATTCCAAATGGCATCCTGAGGTACCTCCAACGCCCCCATGGTGTCTGGAACGTTGTGAGCATGCTTGATTCTTCATCGAGCTCTATTTGAAGGTACCCTTCCTTCAGGTTCAGATTTTGCTGAATACCTTGACACCATCTAGCTCTGGTAGCACATCCTCAATGAGCGGTAACGGATAATGACTTCTTTTCAATGCTTTGTTGATGTGTTGTGGATCGATGCACACCCTCAGTTTCCCATTTGGTTTTTCTGCAATGACGAGATTTGATACCCAATCTGTTGGACTTGTAACTTTCTGAATGACATGAAGATTTTCCAGCCTTTCCAATTCAGCCTTGAGTTTTGCTTTAAGGTTACGGTAAACGTTTGCTGGATGAAAACATCATTTTTTCGATTTTTTCACATTCAAGTAGCCGAACTTTCAAGGCACACAATGCCACCAAATTTGAAACAAACAGAAATTTTGAAAGTGGAAAAATTCCCATGTAAACGCAGGTTTCTATAATTTTTTTATCAAAACTTTTAGTTGAGGCCTGAAAATCTCTTGACCTTTTAAGCCGATTATCGTCGCTTTGCGGTTGTAGTCGCATGTCTCATTTATAATATCGCATGGCACATCCATATACCCAATGTACGGCCGTGTTTATTTAAACAGGCTTATTGATCTTAAATCTTCAAGTGACTTGACCCGGATTACACTGTGGTTTACGAGTGTATCTTGCAAGTGCGATCAGTAAAATCCCGTTTTCTCCGGACTCGAAATTCCTCTACATGCAGGTACGAAAAAGCTATTATGTACCCAAGGAACCAATCGAATGGCTCGAAAATTTGCACACGGCCAGGGCAGACGTTGGGCAAACAAAGCGTGTCTCAAAATTTTTTTATTTTTGCTGGTCCGTCTTTTATACCCAAATACAGCTGCGGGAGGGTGGAACAATTATTTGCCAATTTTTGACAGGGTATAGTTTCAAGAAGAGGAGGAATTTAAAAAATCTGAGACACACTTTGGTAGCTTAGGACCTGCACTTCCTGCTGGTCTAAGTCAGATTTTGTTACCTCAAACGCAAGGGTACATAATAGCTTTTGAAGGTGGTACACTTTTTGACCAGTAAATTCGCATGGAAAATAACATTTAACATTATTTGCCAATACTTTTTATCTGGCTAGATACGCCATAATCTTGTGCATCGGATGATATATAGTTTATCCAGATTCCTTGAACCGTTTGGCCTTTAGGAAGGAAAAACCAATTTTCGTGCTCAAAACGTTTACCGTAACCTTAACAGCGATTGGTACTCTGCGAGGCGGCATGACAACAGGGGTTTGTGACTCATCAACATCTAAGTGCAATTTGCCTGGCATGTGACCCAGACCTTCAAAGACATCTCCAAAACGGTTCTCTATATCTGCAATACTGAGTGGAGCCACTGCAGTGGTCGATAAAACTGTTTCCATGACAACCGTTGGTTGTGCCTGTTGATGTGTGCTGTTTGAAGCAATACTGTTAGAGCTAACATTATCTACATTTGCGTTAAAGATATTAGCATAATTAACAGTCAGAAGTCCCATCTTTTGTGCTGCATTAGCTCCTAATAATGGCACATAGTCACATTTTACAACAACAAATCTGACAGTGTACTCAGTCTGGATCTTTGGGTTTACTACCTTAAGTTTACAAATACCATTTATCGGTAATAAGGCTTGGCTGTACAGGCGCAAAGAGTGATCCGATTTTTCAACTTTTGTGCCTGGAGGAACGAAGTGTTCTGGAAGGACATTACAGGTAGCACCTGAGTCAATTTGAAAACTAATTTGCCTGCCTTTTATAATCATGGAGGCAAAAATTTTGTTCTTAGGAGGGGACTGGGACACAGCATTGATTGCCAGATTATTTTTGGGTGAAATTTCAACAATGAGAATTTCATCATCACTTGAAGTGTTTTCTTCCTTCACTGCATGTATTTTGGCTTTAGAAAATGTATCTCTCATACCTAGTGATGTCTTCAAGCTGCACTTCTCAACAAAATGGTTTCTCTTGCCACAACCAGAACAATATTTGCCAAAGGCTGGGCAACTCTCTTTGTTTCTTTTATGGCTACGCCCACAAAATTTGCAGTCGGAAATAAAACCTCTTGTGTCTCCAGTGGTCTTCCTTGGGCTGCTTTGCTTTCCAACATAATGGGCCATGAGGTCATGATTATCATCCTGGCCAGCCATTATTTTTGCTTGAGCAGTAGTTGTTTCTGTGACCCTGCATAAGTCAATGCATTTAGATAATGAGAGTTTTGGTTCTTGCAGTAACTTACGTCGAACAGCATTGTTGTGAATGCCACAAACAATTCGGTCACGTATCAGCTCATCATTAAGTGGTCCAAATGCACATGTGGCTGCGAGGGCACGCAAAGAAGCCGCATAAGTTTCAATTGACTCTGTAGGGCCCTGTGTACAATTATTGAATTTATACCGTTCGTAAATTACATTTGTTTCTCCAATACAGTAAGTATTCCATAATTCGAAGATTCGCTCAATGTTTTGACGTTCGCCCTCCTCCTGGTACGGAAGTGAATTGTGTATTCGAAGAGCTTCCGGTCCTATGCAAGTGATAAAAGCAGCCACTCGAAAATTGTCTGGTTTAGACTTCAAATTCGTAACAGTTTCGTACGCATCATAAATTTGCTTCCATTGCTTCCAATTCTCTGCCAAATTCCCTTCTAAGCTTAATCGTGGGGGTAATGGCACGTTAGATATGAACGCCGATGTTCCGCTATTTCCTTCAGAGGAAGCACTAGGCCCAGGCACGATTGGATCCGGATCTGTCATCGCGAAACAAGAACCAGCAAAGCAATCATTTACCTCCTAAACATCAAAGATGGGTGTTTCACCTGACACCATGTAAAAATATCCGGTATATAACAACGAAAGAGCACCCAAATTCGAACTTCAATACTCCATTTCATATTCTCACGCATAACATAATATAACATAACATAACGAACCGGGCGCATGCCCATCATAACATAAATACGAGGCTTATAACGTTAC